AATGGATTTTAAACGATCTCTTTTCATATCAAAATACTATACGATACGTATTTTTGCTGTTCTTTGCTGGATTTTATAGTCATAATAAAATAGATTTCCATAGTTTATTCACTTTGATCTATTTAATGAAAAATATAAAAGAGTCCAGTACAATCTACCGAGACCCAAAACAGTGCGGATCCGGCATACCCAAACAGAAATTTTTGTTAAATATCGGTATTGAAATCGGGTGAAATATTCCATCAGTACTGCCAACTGACCATTGGTCCATTTTTAAGTACATTGTATTAGCTTTACTTTAATATGTGTTTAAAGTAAGCAATTTTCTTAAACATTATTACAAATTGAAAAGATAATAACATTAATATAATGTGTATGTCTCAGTATCTGTGTTAATGATTGAATTTTCGATAAAATTATTTCATTGACAAGGTTAATGTCTAAAATATCATCAATAATTTGTCTAGTTTTCAAAAAGTTATTTCAATGTAAAGTGAAATCTGAAAATATCAATATTGGATGTTTTATAAAATTTATTTTATAAATTTTTGAAACATTACCACCTTTATTACAAAAATTTAGAAGAATTTTTAAAATTATGGAACGTATCTATAAATCAGTTTTGTTATCTATTGACATATCATTGATCAAAATCGGATCAGTAGGAGCGGAGTATATTTATATGGACAAAAACAAAAAATGTATTACTATTTATGTATAATGTCAATCGATATTTTAAAAAATTAGCTGCATTGATATTATAGTCGATATCTACCAAAAAATCTAAGGTTATTAAAGGCGACAATTTTTAAATGTTGAAAATCATTATCCCCCAGAGGAAGAAAGTGTAAGAATGTTAGACACAGGATTAAGTGCGAATAGATGAAGTGAAGAGAAGCATCTTGTTTGTATTATGCGATAAAAGAATTTCAATGAGACTGAAAGATAAATTCTAATAGACTAAAATGAAACCAACTATGATGTATAGTTCAGAGTGTTGGCGGTTGAAGAGAGAATAGAACAGAGAATGAGTGTAGTAGAATGAGATTGCTTAGATGGATGAGTGGAGCGACTAGAGAAGATAGGATGGAGGATTAAACATATAAAAAGGAGTATAGGTGTAACATCAATCGTGAATGAGCCGACAGAAAATAGACTTAGATGGTTTGGTCATGTTATGAGAAGAGATGAATCGAAAGTTGTAAGAACAGTTATCGAAATGAATGTTGAAGGAAAAAGAGGTAGAGGAAGACCAAAAAAGAGATGGAGAATGTAACTGAATGCGATATGAAGACAGTGGATGTGTGCGTAGATAATGTGGAAGATCGTGTAAAATAGAAGTTTAAGATAAATGTTGCCGATCCCAAGTAGTTGAGAAAAAGGCAAAGAAAAAGAAGAAGAAAAATCAGTGTTCTCATATTAAGAATAGAGAAAACATTTAACATAAAATAGAGAACTCTTCGCAATCAGAGAACTTTTAATATTAAATGTGATTCAAGACCTTACAAGTCAATTTAATTCAAATTAAATTATTATTCTACAATATCATTAGATACAATTGATGGTATCATTTAAAAACATACAATCAATCGTTTCCCATAAAGCTTTAATAATAAAATTGAAAATGATGATAATTTATTAATATAAAAATATTCGATACCAAAATTTCTATAATTCATCCATGAACAAAAATTGTTGTTCATAGATTATTAGTCTATTTAAATGTTTATTTGTTAGTCTTAGACTAATAAATTAACAGACAGTATTGTAAGTTTATTCATTATTATTTTTATCATGAATTTTTACAACTATATGGTATATATGTACAATAAATGCGTGGTAAATATATTAGTATATAATTTTTATTTAAACGCTCCATACTTCTAATTTGATAATAAAAGTGTAAATAACTCACAAGTGTCATTATGTAAACCACAGCTGTATTGAAAATTATTTATTGCTTACAAGGCCTTTATAAAAATATTTTAGATTTTAATGAAAATATATATATTTTTTTTTTTTGACAACCAACAGCAACAATTAACAGCTACGTTATAAACTTTATTTTATACTATTTTAATGTATCGAATAACAGTTTTTTTAAGAAATACATATCAGTAATACACAAAGGCAAACTAAGTGATATTGAAAAATAAATACATAGTTTGAGAAGATAAACTATACGGTTTCAAACCCATAATTTAAAAACGTATAACTATTGTTGATCGATTTTCAATGGTATAATAATAAAAAAATCAAATTTTACTCAAAATATATTTGAACAATATAAGTGATAATTTAAAAATATTATTGATATTAATTGTTGCTATATCATATGATGCAGTTTTTCTTATTTATCATTCAATACTCTATTGTCTATCACACGTTTTACTACCAAAAAAACTAAGTGAATACTTAAATAAAAAACTAACCAAATATTGTTGTCAAGCAAATTAAAATCACCAATTAAAAAAAAACCGACTGCATTCAGTGAAATATTTAATGGTCAATTTTAATAATAAAAGAGGATAATTTTTAATTGAAAATGTCAGTGAAAACTTTTATGGATTTGAAAGATAGTTTTTACCTCCGGTAAAATATCACTAGTTATATTCAAGTGTATATTAAAAGTTTACTGTTATATTAAGTATTGATATTAAAAGCTCTTCGTGCAACTAATTGATACGACAAATTTTATTGATTATGACAAGTTCATAAAACAATAAACTAAAACATATTTATTTTTAGTTTCTTAAATTCAAAATTATTTATAGATTTACTTCTAAACATTTTTTAATTCGATGTTGACATTTTATTAATTTGACAATCATTTACTCTACGTGTGAATTCCGTCATCCATTTTATTTTAATATAAAATGTTTCATATCTGTTTACGTGTCGCTTTTGTTGGTTAAACATGGTATTGGCAAACTAATAACTTTGCAGTAAACAACAACACATGATGATAGTGGTTTTGGTTAGCCTCGTAAATTGAAGTAAATTTTGTTATTTTACCTCCGGTGGTCCTTTTGTGGTTACAATGTGAGTGTATACGTATGTATAAATGTAATGCATTTAGCCCATGATCGTGGTCCGCATACTACGGGGTATATATCATCAATACTACCTTGCCCTCCTCTCGTATCTACGCTTGCTCGTTGCTAACATTACAATGATACTGTACCCGGCTACTCAAGCTTATATACTGACAGTAAATCGTATTAATTCGTTTGGGTGTATGCATGTGACGCTAAAAGGTTCGTGATCACTCTACCCCTCAGCTCTTTTTCCCTTCAATATTGCCATACGATAGAGTGCAACGTTAGTGTACATCGGATACAAAAGCGTGTACTGAGTTTCAAAAGCAATATGTAAATTACGAGTAGTAATAACCACTTGTCGGTCATTTGGTCCCAATGCAACGGTACTTTTATATTGTTAGTATATACTCGGCCAATGGGCTACCAGTACGGCATCGGAAAGTGACATCAATTCAATAGTAATTGCAAAATAATATTTTATGTACTTTCTCATTAATGGAAATGCTGTGGAAAACTTAGTGCCGATTTGATAACTAACCTTCCATAAAGTGATTTCAATCACTTTCAGAATTCAAACTATACTTGCCTTCACCAAGTCAAGTTTGACTATACTTATTATGGAATGTATTGTAAATTTTATCGTGTTGAAAATTGTGTTATAATCAAAAGTTTAAAGCAGCCTTTAATAAAATTTATGTATAATTTTTCAATCATGAAGTGACGTATGACGTATTACCAAATATATTATTAGTTTAAAAAAATAATGGAGCAACCATTATTATTATTTAAAAAGAAAAAATTTTCTATACTTCATAATTTTTAAAACGACGTTTATGTAAATTAATAAAATAACACGAAACATAGAAGCCTATAAATTGAATTTTTCAAGGAGAATATTCACTATTAGAAATAGAAATAAAAAGCATATTTTTGTACATTTTTTCGTTATAAACATATTTTATGTAAGTTAAATAAAAGACTAGTGCACCTAAACTGAAAATATAAATTAACATTCACGCGTACATTAATTATAAACAGCTAAACGTGTGATGATAATTATTATTATTATAAATGCAGATATGTTAATTACAAAATCAGAATTTAAAATGAATACACTATACAAGTTATTTGGGGATAAAATTAAAACAAAATTTACTAAGCCTTCTCCGATAGACGAATTTTTTATTTTGTAATCAAACAACTAATTATGTATTTTTTTGAATAAAGTCTTAGGACAATTCAGCAACATTTAAGATAATATACTGAATAATTAAGTATATTACCCTGATTATTATCGAAATAATTTAGTTAGACTAATTGACAATATACTTCTAGATATTATTATAAAATTACTATTATTCTATCAAATATAAAGATAGTGTAAAACAGATTAAAATAAGATACAAAAATAATCTGTACAATTTCAACTAGCTGTTCTATGATTTTATAAATATCTTTGATTAAACGTTGTAATGAGTGGTACAGCAATGATGTTTATAAGAAAAAAGAATCAATTTAGGTTTCTTTATCGATAAATACTAATGTTTTATATAATTTGATTTTAAATAGAAATTCCACTGTGCTATGCTTCATTTAGTTTCCGTTCAAATAATATTTACTACAAACGGAAAGCAAGACCTACTGCATAAAATATTTCGGGATATTATGAATAATGCATGTCATTAAACAATCCCTTCTGTCTCGACATTTTTTTTTTTATTATAAAATTCGATATTGATGACAGTATGCTTGTCTTGTCTAAGTTTGTTGCGATGCAAATGAATCGTGTATAACTTTGAGCGCAAAAAAAAAGGTTTTTTTCTTATGATGGAAAAAAATTTGTTTTGTATAATATTTATATAGCGTATTGTTTTCAGTTTGTCGCACTAGTCAGCTTGCGTCGTGTAATTTTCTAAAGAATATGCAAGAAAATAATAGTTAATATTGAATTTGACTTACCTGATGCGTTCTTGTTTCGTCACCAACTTTTAAATTTCCCACTGAAAAAATAAATCATAGTTTCAGAACGTGAATTTTTTTTCAAATAATAGTAGTTATAAAATTAATTATATCTGTATATAACATCCAATTGTAAACGCCTAATTTACATAAAGCTATTATAAATTGAAGAGCAATACAAATGTTTTAATTTGCCACACACGAGTTTAAAGTCATGCGTTGTGTACCATAAAGATAACGGTCTTACAGGAATTCAAATAGCGTCTCAATTATATCTGAATTACAAACTTACAAATTATAATTATACACTTTAAAATCTTAGACATAATACGAGGATTGTGAACATAATCGAAAGTTCGAAAACACATATTATAAAATATCGCTTAATGCACTTCGTTGTAGCTTGCCGTATTATATCGTTTAACGGCCAGAGTTTTACTAGTACCCATTACACGGTTCATCGTTTCGAAGTAAAAACAATTTATCGTCCTCCGGCACAGCTAATTTACCGGTACACTAAATCGTTCCAGTGTGGTATCTGTAGACTACGTTAAAACTACACAAAAACAAAATAGAAAACCGTATTAAAACATTGAAAACAGCAAAACCGATTGAGCTTCACTAGTTAATGAAGTTTTTTGATCGTAGCCAGTACATTCATCCGTGAACTAAATTAAATGATTTCTAAAATACAAAGAGTCGGCATTTTAACATCATTTTGTGAATTAACTTTCGAGCAACGAATGAAAAATATAATAGAACAATTTCCCATTAGTAATGACTTCAAAGGAGTTGTATTAAAGACACAGAGAACTTTTAAAATAATAACATACTATTCATCTAATTGCGAATCGTTTTCCTGGGATATCAAACTTACCGAATATTATTTATTAAACGCGCATTTTTTTGTTTTTAAAATTAAATTAACTTCTAAACGAATCTAATTCTTTCTTTTTTGTTAAAAATTATATTATATTTTGATGCACTATAGGACTGTAAATCAAGACAATTGAAATATCTTAAGCGTCATGACGTAAAATAATTTTATTAGAGGCGAGTTTAAAACAGACAGTATAAATAATGAATCCCCTTCTAGTTATAGAACCTTTACATTTGGCCAGTACTTAAGCACCCTTAATATTTATTAATGCTTTGAGTATGCAAATGAATTTTAACACTAGATGTTCGTGAGTAACGGTAACTATCCTTTAATGTTTCTTAAGTAGTAATAGCAAGTAACTATTTTAGCAACTAGAAATAATAAATAATCAATTAAGATTTTATTAGAAATATTTAATACTCAAAAGTTCAAACTTCTTCTTTAAAATTTCGAAAAATTGAATTCCGTTTTACTGTTTAACAAAAAAGTATTCAGAAAACATTCACATCTAAATGACTTAAGAAATATAAATGTTGTAAGTAAAAAGTAACTTTCAATGATAAATTGAATAAAGGGTTTTATTTAGTGTTCAAAGGCGTCTAATGCAAAAGTTTTACATATTTTTTCAGAGCCTTCCTATGTAAAAAATAAGTAAGCAAAAGGGTTTTTATTGTTCCTATTGTTTATAAGAAATAACCTGTTTCATTACTTTTAGAACATCTGGTATGTACACATAGGCAATCGGAACGAAGAGTCTTTGTCTATATTATGTCCACAAACTTTACATTCGTATTTTCAGTATAGTAAGACAAGCAAATATCATAGTCATCAAAATGTATGTAACCACGCGAAATGTAGATCATAAACGCCTGGTTTTTTATGCTATCCCAAAAGGACAATAAACCATATAAAGCCAGTAACCATATTATACATTTTCTTGATACATCACCTAAATAATAATATACACTATGACAGGTTTTTGAAAACAGTGACTGGAAAGCATAATTAATAAATATAGTGAGTGAACATTTTAACCGTTTTATATAAAGTAAATTAGATAAACATTTTTTTTTTTTTTTATATTATTATTTTTGTATTAGTCTCATATATTACGAATAAACTATTTTTTTTTTAATTATAAAAAACTTAAATTTCACAATACATTTAGGATCAACTAATTTTCGACCAAATCAAAGTTTAGTATTATGTGTAAAATTGTATTGAAATATTTATATTAAGTGAATTTCAATTAAAGTAAAGACTATATATGCACATTACGTAGTGCAAATACAAATTAGTGACTTTTGGCGTACTTAAAATTATTACATTAAACCACAGTTCAATTTAAAGAAACGAGGTGACAGAATAGGCTGAATGTACAATCATGAACCAAAAAAAGAGTAGACAGATTTTAAAATACTACGCAGTCGTCAAGAATATTTCGTATTGACATCAAATGCAAAAAAAGCTTTCCAGACGTTTTACATTTGCATCAATCAAATCATATACTCAAGCCTTTGCTTTTATGACACTGCAGCTTTTGCTGTTTCCGCATAAAATGTACAATTGCATATATTACACCGACCAATATACTTTGAACATAAATAAATGTCACTGAAAAATTCTAAGATACAATATCTTCATATCCAGTTTACATTTGAAACTAAAATGAAACGGTAAAATTGCTAAAACTAGAAAAGTTTTTATCTCATCTAAATTTACTTTAAACAAAAAAAAATGTTGGTAACTAGCATTGTTTTAACATATTCTAGTATATTTTTGTGTACTACTTTTACGCTAGTCGTTTTATTTCAATGTATTTCAAAAACTAGTCAATTAAAAATTATGTTTCAAAAAAACCAGCACAACAGTAGAGACGCACGATAATTGGAGCAAATATAGATGAATCTGACAGCGATTAAAATCACTATCATAAAAAACGATTTGATGCGATTCTGTTGATAGTATTTCATTTTTAAAAGAAATTATTAATTTATTCCAAAATTAATATTAGCTCCCATTTGCTTAACTATATACTGATTACAAGTTTTATGATTTATAATTATAGTACATGACTAAATATTTCCTATAGTAATTAAATTTAGTATAAAATGAAATTCAATAATTTATAATTGTAGTTTTTACGTAGAAATTACAAAAAAAAAAAGAAAAGAAAATATTTTGACCCTGTTAGTTAATAATAATTTTAGTTATGAAGTTATAATTGTAATTTATCATAAGCGTTTGGTAGCCAGAACATTTTTTTGTAAAGAACATTAAAGAGTTCCATACTCCAATTCCAAGTGTTAATATCTTCCATGAAATTATTTATAATTAAAAATAAAATTTTTTTTGTCTTTTAGTATGTAGCATTTAATTTATTATATTAATATAAAAGTATTAGATTTTATTTAATAAATATTTAAATAACGCAGTATTTCCGGAACGTTTTCAAAAATTAAATTTAAAAAGTTACCTTTTAAAAATTGCTACTTTTAATTTAAGTCGGATTTAAAAAAATATATACTAAATAAACAGGAAACAACCTAAGTGATTAGTAAAAAAATTGTTTTAATTAAAATTTTTTTTAATTAAGGCAGTTTTATATAAAATTTTTTTTTTAATTTACCCAGTTTTAAATAATATAAAATAATTTTAATAGTAAATTTTTAGNACCCAGTTTTAAATAATATAAAATAATTTTAATAGTAAATTTTTAGTCATTTTTTCTATTTACGGAGAACTAGGGTAATTTTTTCAATTTTTGAATATTATGTCTTCAACTACATATGGTTGATTTTTGATCTTTTAATATACCGTTAAAAAAGATCGATCTAACGAGAGCTGAAAAAAATTGCTGACAAACACAAAAAAATTTAAATAATAAAATACTTCATAGTAAAATTAATACTTTATCAGATTCGCATCAAAGCTAAAACAATTTTAACCTTATACTTTTAATTTGAAAAGTTTAAAATTTAGAATTTTTCTAATTATTGTATGGTAACTAATTATTCAATACATGTTGAGTAATTATTTCAAATACTAACTATATTTTTTAACATTCAATACAAATTATTAGTTGTTATGTTTTTGTTGTATTAATCCATAATATACAAACAGATTAAATTTGCAAAATATTACTTTAATCTTGGCATGTGAGGTAATTTATACAGTTTCGTTATTAGGTTGTCAACACATAAAAATATACATACAATAGAAATTTACTACTTATAATTATAACTATTAGTGTCTTATATAAGATTCCTTAGAAAAATAATCTCGCGTATTATACAATAAATAAACTCATAAAATTTACAGTAACTTTTTCAATGATGTTGAATTAGTATTTTAAAATTATTAAAATATAAAGATATTAATTACTATGTATATTCATTAATTTTACTAATTTTATTGATTTTATGCTTGTATGAATATCATGAGTAGATTTTTAGCAGGGGATTTGATTAAATTAACACGAGTAAAAATTTTTTTTCAAAAATTCGCTATATTATAATATATCATAATTCTATATTATATAATTCATATCATATTTAATAAGATTGTAATAAATATATATGGTAAACATTATGTTTATTCATTCATAATCATATATGGTCGTTAACGAGGATAAATAACTTATTAAACTTGTTAGAGTAAATAAACAAAATGGTAGTCAAATAACTATTGTTTAAAAACAGCAAAAAAAAAAATGTTTTATTAATAAGTTTTAATAACTTCTGCCTGTCCATGTATTTAAAAATTACTTATTAAAAAATAACGAATTTTAAAATATCATTTGACTAGACAGTAATAATGATGAATCGATACAAAAAACAAAATTTAATTTAATTTTAAAAAAATGTCATGCTGTAAATGTAAAAAAGTAATAAAAACTATAGAAGTTACTACGATTTGTTATGATCCCATGTGTTTTGAAAAGGCGATGAAGGCAAAAAATACTTCAAATATGTTACCCTGTTATGGTAAACAAAACACTATCAACAACACAACTAGCGTGAGATCAAGAAGGACATCATCATCATTAGTTTTGCCATGGACCGAAGGTACGACGACCAAGTCGAAAACTTGTAAATGTGAAAAACACGTGAATACGTTTGAAGTAATCGGATACGAATATGATGAAAAATGTTTGGCAAA